ACCCGAAAGTTAAATTTCTGCAAAATATGGGCAACTTTATAGCTATTGATGGAAAGAAGGGAATGACAACATAATTTTTATGATCTCCTAAAACAAGAGTGTGCCTTTTAGTGTGTTGAGATGAGAATTTTTTAACTGCTTGATTAATAATGTTGGGTGAAAAGCCCCTGTCAATAGCTATTGCTTTTAAATAATTTAGTTCTTCATCAAGGGCTAGTTTGGAGGAGCAAACTTGAAGAGCATGGAAAACATAGGAATAAAATGACGCTAACTTTTGTTTAGTCGGATGACATGATTTAAAGTGTGGTGGAAGGCAAACCGATGAAGGTTTACGGTAAACCGTAGTACTGAAGTTGGATGTGTTACGTGTGACCAGAATGTCAAGAAACGGAAGAGAATTGCAAGTCTCAAGTTCAAAAGTGAACTGAATAGCAGGATCAATGGAATTCATTGTTGAAAGAACTTTATTTAAATCATCTTTATTACCTTCAAACAGGGTAAAAGTATCGTCTACATAGCGGAACCATGCCGGGAAGTTTAAAGTTTCAAACAATTTTGATTCATAATAATGCATGTAGATATCAGCCAGGATGGAACTGAGGGGGCTTCCCATGGCTAATCCCTCCGTTAGCTTGTAATATTTATTTTGGAAAACAAAATGTGTTTGTTTCAAACAGGGCTGAGTGAGAGAAATTAGCTCATCAATTTCGATGCAAGAGAAATGAAATTCGCGAAGTCTGATTTCTACACATCTTAATGCACCCTGCAGTGGGACATTGGTGAATAATGGTTTTTCATGAAAAGAAACCATGAGTAAATTGCTAGGAGAAATGTTTTTAACCTTTTTTACAAACTCTATTGAATTTTTTATGGTGTAAATGTTATTGTCTAATAGAGTTGAAAATCTAGAAACTAAATATTTATCCATTAGCTAAATATTTAGTTTCTAGATTTTCAACTCTATAATAACATTTACACCATAAAAAATTCAATAGAGTTTGTAAAAAAGGTTAAAAACATTTCTCCTAGTAATTTACTCATGGTTTCTTTTGATGTAAAATCATTTATTCACCAATGTCCCAGTGCAGGGTACATTAAGATGTCTAGAAACCAGACTTCGCGAATTTCATTTGTCTTCCATTGAAATTGATGAGCTAATTTCTCTCACTTAACTCTGTTTGAAACAAACACATTTTGTTTTCCAAAATAAATATTACAAACAAACTGAGGGATTAGCCATGGGAAGCCCCCTCAGTACCATCCTGGCTGATATCTACATGCATTAATATGAATCAAAATTGTTTGAAAGTTTAAACTTCCCCGCATGGTTCCGCTACATAGACGATACTTTTACATTGTTTGAAGGTAATAAAGATGATTTAAATAAAGTTCTTCCAACAATGAATTCTATTGATCCTGCTATTCAGTTCACTTTTGAACTTGAGACTTGCAATTCTCTTCTGTTTCTCGACATTCTGGTCACACGTAACACATCCAACTTCAGTACTACGGTTTGCTTTCCACCCCACTTTAAATCATGTCATCTCACTAAACAAAAGTTAGCTTCATTTTATTCCTATGTTTTCCGTGCTCTTCAAGTTTGCTCCTCCAAACTAGCCCTTGATGAAGAACTAAATTATTTAAAAGCAATAGCTATTGACAGGGGCTTTTCACCCAACATTATTAATCAAGCAGTTAAAAAATTCTTATCTCAACACACTAAAAGACACACTCTTGTTTTAGGAGATTATAAAAATTGTTGTCATTCCCTTCGTTCCATTAATTAGCTATACAGTTGCACATATTTTGCAGAAATTTAACTTTTGGGTTGTTTATTCTCCCATCAATAAAATTCGGAGTTCCATACTCAAGGACCCTATTCCGGATATGAATTCCTGGGGTATTTATAGGATTCCTTGCCAGTGTGGTTTAATTTACATTGGCCAAACTAAGAGAGCCTTAAAATTTTGCGTCAAGGAACATGAGGCATATGTTAGAAAAAAGTAAACACAGAAGTCTTCTGTTGCTGAACATTGTTGGTCCGAAAATCACACTTTAAATTTTTCTGCTGCCAAAATTATTCAAAAAACATCTTCCATTGGAGAACTGGATTTTCTAGAGGCATTTCACATTCATAAAAATCTTTCTGTTCTAGTTAACAATCCTAATTCCATTCCAAATTTGCCTTAGGTCTTTAAAGGAATTATGTTTTAGTTCTGATTTCACCAACAGATGGCACCACTTGCTTATTCTTGTCCAGGCCTTCTGATCTTATCTAATCATTATATCCTAGCTTGTTCATTTGCGGTTTTGCAGTTGAGGATGGTGGTTCAGGAAAACCATCGAAACTAGTCCTGTGAAAATTTTGTAAATATAATGCTGATTTTTGTTGTTTGACTTCTGAATTAGAATGAACATGGTTGTTTTTGTGAACTTGTTTCGATGGCATTTTAAAACGCAGAGAGATATATACTATTACATATAAAAGTATATTTTTTTAGTTATTTGTTGCACAAATAAGTTTTGAGCACTTTTTTTTTGTAACTTTATTCAGAAAAATTGGAAGCTTTATTGAGAAAAATTGGAAGAATATATTTTATTCAAAGTATTGTCCATCATTAGCTACAACTTTCCCCCGTCTTTCAGGTAGCATAAATTAGGTAGTCATGAGTCATCGACTGGAACAAGTGGATGTCGGAAGGAGCAGTGTCTGGTGAATTCGGTGTGTGGGGTAGGACATCCCATTGAAGTGCCTCCAAAGTTTCCTCGACAACTTTTGCAGCATGTGGACGAGCATTGTCATGCTGAAAGAGGTTCAGTTGCATCAACTGTTGTTTGTAATGTTCCCCAGTAATGTTTTTGTAAGGCTGGAGTAGCTCATAATAGATCCGAGCTGATCCCACCAGATGCACAGCATTAGCTTCTTGCCATGAATGTTCAATTTTGCCGTTTAAGTTGATGCATGGCTGGGCTTCCCCATGATTTTTGGGCTTTGGGTTGTCATGGTAGATCTATTTTTCATCCCGTCATGATTCGATGCAAAAACCCCTTCCAATTTTGCCTTTGGAGCAGTTGTTCGCACGTGAAAAAATGGCATTCAATGTCTCTTGGCTTGAATTCATACGGAACCTAATTTCCTTTTTTTTTTTTTGCACCATACCCATGGCATATGCTTCAAAATCGCTTGTTGAGTCTCTCCCAAGTTTTTGGTGACCTCCTCTTGATTTTTGAATGAATCATGGTGCAATAATCCCTCCAACTCAAACTTTACTAGTCACATGTTTTTATTGATGGAGCATATTCTCCGTATGCTTCATACAGCAACCGACATCCATCAGGTGCAGTTTTCTTCAAATTAAAACAAAAAAAGAAGAACCTCCCTCAAATTTTGTTTTATTGATATAAAGGTTGACTTGGTTTGAGCACAAATAAAGTTTGTTGTTTACACTTCAGCGAAATGAAACAGACTGATTTTTTAGACGGAAAGCTGGCACTTTAACATGAATATAGTTACAAGATTGTCTGATAGGATTTAATACTAATAGCACCATCTTATGTAAATCCTTCAAAACTAATTTGTACAACCAATATTTAGTTATTAGAATAAATTTAGTAACATCAACAAACTGGAGGAGATTACAGACTGTAATCTCAAACTTCAGCATGTAAAATATGTTTTGTTATTATATATTGTGGATATAAAATATTTTCAATCTTTTTCTTTCAAAACTTTTTTTTTGAGGGAGGGGAGTGCATTGAAGCCATGTTAGAGAACTTCTTTTGGTGGCATTTTAAAACTCAGAAATTTCCTTTTTTCATTTGAAGGACAGTTATGCACAAAAGTATTAGAATGAAGTTTTTTTTTTCTTCTTCTTCCTCCCCCTTTTTTAAAGCTCAAAAGAAGAATTAGGTATATTATACTACATATGAAAGTATATTTAGTTAGTTAAATTTCAATAGTGTGATTTTTGTTCAACTTTCAGCATCGTATTATGGAAAAATTTAATACATTGTATGAAACCAGTTTTCTTTGTCATTTGAATCTTTCTGCCATTGAAGGAACTAATTTTACTAAAGTTTCTTTTAGAATTTCATTCAAAATTCTAAAAGAAATAAGTGGCTAAGACTGCTGAACACTGGCGGTTTGACTTCTATACAAATCCCAATAAATACAATGCCTGTATGGATTTTTAATGGTTTTTCCCAAGTATGGGCCAGTTTCGCTTTGGAAGTCCTGTATAAAGGCAGGGACAAACAATTTGATAATAAGGATTTTCTGATCTCTGTTTTCACCAATATTCTACACCACCTCTGTGCATTTAGCAATAAAATACTCTCAGAAATGGTAGATTTTTTAAAAGTATCAAATCTCTTCAATAAAAGGAGACTTTGCGACTCAAAAGGTAACCTATTTGCAGCCAAAAAAGTTCCAGCCAGAAATTTAAAAAAAAATTACTTGACTTTTTTTTTTTTTTTTTGTTTTTGTTTTTTTGTATTTTGATGTTAACAATATCTGACAGTAATGAGATAGGTATTCAGATGTATAAAGAAAAGAAACTGCAATAAAAGCAGTAGCAAGAGATAAAAAATTTGACTTTATTTGGTACTTTTGCATGATACTATAATTAATACTTCTCTGTTTAAAATAATTGTGGAAAAATCACGTGTTCCTCATATGTGAAATTAGTAATCCTTTAATTTGGTTCTTAGAAAGTGTAAGGTGTTAGGATAAAGGTTTCTTCTGAAGAAATGTATGAAATAAAATCTGAAACAGGTAGTTCATGCTGTAGACCAAACAGAATTAAGGCATCTTTTGACCATTTGGTGCAACATTAACATTTTGAATATGATTAATGGTTGCAGAAGTAGGCTCATCTAAAACTGAATCAGTCGTTTCAAATAAGCATATATTTCTCATTTGAATATGCTGAGTTGTAAGCAAAAACTGTTTAGTTGTTTTTATAGCTACATTTTTAATAGAATTATTGCATTCTTTTTAGGTTTTGAATGATTCAAAGTTAACTGAAAAAGAAAAGAAGAAAATAACCTTCTTTAATGTCATTGGTCATGATACATTTCATGCTGGAGGTTTAAATTCTCCCTGGGGAGCAATTGTTGGTGTTCCTCTTATTTTTGAAGATATGAAAGACATTAATTTTAAAGACTTAAAAGTTCAGGGTAAAGATACAGTAGATTGGGTAGTAGATGGTCAAGACCTTTTGAAAGCTTTGTCATTATCTGATGATGCTAAGAAGTTTGCTCTTATGAGAGAAATTTATTCATGCAATTTCCGGCATGTCTTTGATAATGCAATTATTGGTGCATTTTGCATTCTCGGACCAGCAATAATGGCTCAAAGAATTAATATGAGAAGAGACGCATTTAAAACAGCAAATCTTAGAACTCGTTTCTCATGGTATGCTGTGTATTTTTCTCTAGGATTTTTATTCTATCAATTGATAAAAGGACCTTTTGAGCACTTGCATGCCCAGAAAAATGATCGATTGGCTGCTGAAACTGGTCCCATGTACCTTAATGGGGGCATTGAATTTTATAGGAAATTACTTCTTAGAAATAAAGCTCTACGCAGTTTGTTAGGACTGAAAGGCAGTAAGATGTTTAATGAAAATGGAAATGAAAATTTTTTTCTACTTGCACCTAGATTACCAATTTCTAAGAGACTGGAGCTATTGCAAGATCTGAAAAGGGAAAAGTTTAAAGAAGCCACTGAATAGTATAGTACTGGATTTAGACTGTAAAAGGATGCCATGTAATCTTTCATAGAATGCTTAATAACATTTTTAATGCAAGTTCTGAATTTCCATCAGAATGGGTTTAAACCAACCATTTGCTTGTATTTCTGTTTAGATGTGTCTTAAATGCATTATTTGTGTGTGTAAAGAAAATTTTCATAATTAAATAAATATTACCTCTCATATATTTTTTGTGTTTTAACAACTATACTGAACTGTAACAGATTATTCCGTTTTCCTTCAAAGACTGTAATTCACATATATATTTATTTTGCAATTAGAATAGAGATAGATATGCTTATTTGTGGGATTTTGTGATGGAGATTTTGCTTTATACTTTGATGACAGGGATTCAACAATTTGATTTATATTTAACTTTGCTGTTACAACTAAGTGCAGCTATCACTTAAAAAAAGCAAAACGCAGTTTGCAGTTGCTAGTTTAGCTGTTGAAGCTGAGTACATTTCACTCACTTCAACAACAAAAAATATAGTATAGCTTCGAAAACTTTTGATCAGCACAAAGTAACCTTGTATAAATATTTTGTAACAGTAAAGGGAGCAAAAATAGTGTTTCATTAAAGAACTAATGATAATGATGTTGTGCATCATGTAACTAACTCAAAATGCTGTTAGGGCATGTTAAAAATGCATGCATGTTAAAAATTTTATGTCAGAGAGATTTCAAGAGATGGTTTTCGCTGTTTCTTTGACAAAATCAGTTTCAAGAAATACTAATTTGAAACTTATGGGACTGTAAGAACATTGAAATTGAGGAGAGGAAGTGTTAAATTGTTTAATTTAGGATTTTATGTCTTACTGTATTTTGTAAGTGGGAATATGTCATACAATATTTTTAGGCTTAATTCTTAACTTTTGATATCACTTGTTCAGTTCTTCTATTTTGACTTTGCATGGTGCACGCCGTAATTAAAATTATTTACTGTTCTTATTCGTGCAATTTTTGTTACTAAATTTTTTTAATTTAAACTATGTAAGAAAAATAAAGTTTATGTTTTCTTATATCAAACATACCAAGAGCTGATGTGCAAATAAATGAAATTTATTTGTAAGCATATCCTTCTTGTCATTCAACATGTATTTTCAGCCTATTTATAAGCTTCATAATTCCTGCAGAAAAGAATATTGTTTAGTCATTTCTGCTACTACGAGTGCACTGCTTCCTTAATTTTTGTTTGCTTGGATATTCCCAAATTATGTTTCGCTCCTCGGGTTGTAATAAATATTTTATCCCTAGCAAATCCTCTGCAGAATATTGGGATTTGACTCATGTGGCTTCAAAAAGTGTTCTGCATCTTGTATCATTGAAAACATTGAATCATAACTGATGTTTATTTCTTTGGCGATTTTCAGCAAAATAACTTGTCGATTTGGTGTGCATAGATATAATCAAGATAGTCTTCTATGCGTGAAGCGAACCGACAACCTGATATGGTTCATCAAACAGGTTTGTTCTACCAGCATTAAACTTTTCTATCAACTTGCATATCTTGTATCTGGCTCGTAAATTTGTACTTCCCATATTGCACACGCATTATACAAGAATTTGAGTAAGTTGCACACTCTCAGTTCAGGTGGAGTATTCAAAGAAGAGCAGTGACGTTTATGTTCTTACACATGCTGCGGTAATTAAGGATAAAAGATTAAAGGTAGAATAAGATACCTGTCAAGGTGTAATATCCTTTCCACCTCTTTCCCATTCTGCCACAGCTTTGCTTGCTTACATAGGGAGAGAACATTGGAGTAAATTTTGGTTCTAAACTTATTAATTACACTTCATAATATGCCAGAGTTAATAGCTTTAATCATTCAAGTAATTGTTAATTTTAGTTAGTCAAGTTTAAATTGTTGATAAATTTTGCTATTAATCTAATTATGTAGGAGGTAAACAGAAGAATTAATATCTGGTTATTTGGTGTATGTGGGGAGGAAGCTTTTGATGCTGTTTTCGGGCAGTTTGTTTCTTAAAATTATTCATCTAAATGATTCCTTCGTAAAATACTGCTTTATGCTGAAGAAAAAAAGCGCCTTCATGTCTTTTTGAATACTATCAACAAATGTTGACATTTCCTGTTGCAAAATCCACATTCTAGCAAAATTGCTGATAATATAGAATCTTGAATTCCGACTTTTAATCCATTCCAGATCCATTCATTTGAGCAAACAAATTTATATGCATCCCAAATGAAAACAAAAATGCGCTCAGGTCACACTGTAAGTGAAACAACAAAAAAGCTAGGAGGACATACATCCAGAAGACCTGCAAGTATGGATTGGAATGAACATTATGATGGGAATTATTGTGTTGCCTAGTATTAATAACTTCTAGAGTTCTGACCCTGCACTAGGACAAGTATTTCACAAATTATGACGTGCAAGCTTTTAAAAAAATAACAGAAGCAATCAATGTAAACGAAAATGAGACCGATCTTACAAGAGATGACCCAGATAACGATAAAATTCGTAATGTTAGACCTCTTATTGAACACCTTCGAGTTCCGAATAAATTTTTTATCTCTAAAATAGCAAAAACTGGATTAATCCATTCCTGGGTCCAATAAACCTGAATTTTCAAAATGATTTTATATAATGTATATACAGTACAAAGTCCGAAATCCGAACTCGTCGGGACTTCGGCAATTCCGGATATTAGATCTTCAGTTTAAATCTAGTGAATGGCATGTAGAAATTATAAAATTAAAAATATGAAATCATGATTTATGAAATACTGAAGTATTTGTGATCTAAAGAGTATCAAAATTTACAAAAAAAAAAAAAAAAAAAAAAGAGCTTAATATCTATTTGTTTACCTTATTAAACATTTCTCTCAATGCAAGTTGTTCCGTTTTTTGTGCTAATATTTTCTCTTTAATTCTGTAGACAGACATAATCTCTTGTTTAGTTACATTGTTGAAGTCCTGTAACTGCTATTTCGAGAATTCCGACTAACTTGTCAATCGAAATTTTCTCGTTTTCAGTAACTTCTCCGTCACTTTCTTAACTATCAGTAGCGGTTTTTTCCGAATCCATACTACAGATTCTGCCATCCGTAAATTGATTGATGATTGAGAAGCATTGTCATCACAATGAAAACTTTTATATAATCAATTTATAAAAACTTTTATATAATCTTCATTTATTACCGCTTCTCAACATTTCTTTACAAAATCCGTTAATTAGAAAATTTCACCTTTGTTTAGCGATATCCGAAAACCTTTAAAATTAGCGGCTATCATGATCAAATTTAGCTATCCTTCACTATACATATTTGGCTATGCATCATGAGCTTGGCGACTAATGACAAGTTGCTCCGTTAAATTTTATCTTGCTTCTATCGCGCACTGAGACAATTAAGCCTGAATTGTATTAGTTTATTTATTTATTAAATTTATGTCTATTTCTTGTATATGTTTAAGGCTTATCAGAGTTCTGAATAAATAAATTCTCACCATGTATTTAAGCCTTATTGAGAGCCGGCGCTAGATATCTTATCGCCTGATGCAGTTTCTGTGGGTCCTAAATTCTCTGACTCGATGCGGCCAAACGAGCCCTGGCGCTGGTTCTGGGTTTATGTGAATAACAAATCAGTTATTAATTCAAATAGCCCTAAATCCTGGCCCACGCCGACAATAGGTGCAAGGTAGTGCGGTGCGTGATGGCGCCGACTGAAAAAGGCGCCGGGCAATCATTTAAATAAGCAGTTCGTCTCTCTGGCTGTCTGAACAGAAAAATTCTTTTCTTATTTGAACGCCCCTCCGGGGTCGACTCGGGTAAAAACTGAGAAGCTACTAATTAGGATCTGTACCTAGGCAGTCTCGGCCACGGATGTTTAAAATCAGTCTCCGCAGGACTGGAGTCATCGCTAGCGATGGCTGTTTCTGGCTCGGGAAGGACAATATGGCGTTCTCGTCCGTTCCGCTGGTTGTGGTGAGTTATATAGTCAGATGTTCATGGTTGTCCGGGGCGAAACATCCCCGTCGGTGGAGTTGGTGAATTCAGCGAGCCTTTAAACTGCTTGAGGTTTCCGGTGAGCACCTGGAGCCTCAAGATATTCATATCCTTCCTTGGTTTTCTCCCTGGGGGCGCCTAAAGCCGACATCTGTATACCATGACGTAGTGTTAAGCAGGCCAGATTGGTGGCCCGGTCTGTCTGACAGTGTTTAAGTGACTTCGTTCTGCTGTCCGGGGTTGGGGCTCCTGTTGATGGCAGATGTTTTTACCATCACTCCAGAACGGGAACGTTGAATGCGAGTTGCTGAGTATTCCTGTAGACTCAGCTTAGTCTTAGTTCGTCGGCTTGATCGATAGGCTAGCGGCCCCTTGGATCGCCTGTAGGGGTTGGGCCGTTTTACTGTATTAAGGCAGCCTCGAGATTGTCAGATCTGAGTGCTCCTTCCTCCTAGCACACTGTCGACCGAAAGTTATAACCAGGGCAGGAGTTCGTTTGTGGTGTTCTCTTTTGTCTTATTTGAATGTGAAAATACGTGATGCCGATGCGTATGTAAGGATATACCCATTCGACAAATTGTTTAATCCTTATTTTGTATCTACTGTTGCAATAGTAGTAATTTGTGCAACATTTATCCTTTTTGTGATTGTTTGTTGCTATTGTCTTTAAAAAAAAAAAAAAAAAAAGTGCAGTTACATATTATGTTAAACTTAGGTTAACTTTTTAATTCGGAAAAGCAACGATTTGAGCATAATTACCCGAAAACTGTTTACCTCTCATGTTTGAACAATTATCGTTTCTGTACACTTTAAAAAAGTATTATTTCTTTCGAATAACTTGTTACTGGAACCACGGACGGCTAAGTTTTGTTTGGCTAAAACTCAATGGCATAGCTAATTCTTTCAATAACATCGCGCCGATGCTTAGTCTCTTTTTTTTAATAAATTTTGAAATTCCGAATCAACAGGTTTATTCTTTCTTAATCGTTCTAAGAAATCGGACCAAAGATGTAGATTCCGGAAATACATTTTATTTTTTTTTATGAAGTTTTATGTGCTCATTTAAGTGGTTCCATTCGTCAAATTCAGAACTACTCAATTTTGCGTTGCTGAAACTGTTAAAAATTTTGAAAAAAAAAAAAAAAAAAAGCAATAAACATAATTTTTTTCAGCAGAATTTAGCAACCTTTTAACTCTTTCGTTGTTTGGCAAGATTTGA